CATCAACATCATCATCACCAACATCATCTTCACCATCAGCCGTGTCATCATCAGCATCCGCGTCACCGTCAGCATCGTCTTCATCATCATCACCATCATCCGAGTCATCATCATCATCATCATCATCATCATCATCATCATCATCATCATCATCATCTCCATCAATATATTCATCCGAGTCATCTTCATCATCATCATTATATGAGTCATCATCATCCGAAACGTCATCATCATCATCATCATAATCATCATCTTCTTCATCACCAGCATCATCACCATCATCTTCCGAAACATCGTCATCATCATCATCATCGTCATCACCGTCATCATCCTCATCTTCATCAATATAATCATCCGAGTCATCATCGTCATCATCCTTATCCGAGTCATTGTCATCCGAATCGTCATCATCATCATCATCATCATCATCATCATTATCATCATCCAAGTCATCACCACCATCATCGATATCAGCAATATCATCAGGATCATGATCATCATCATCATCTACAACCGAAACATCATCAACCTCATCATCATCATCATCAACCTCATCAGCATCAGCACCATCATCATCCGAATCATCATCATCATCATGATCGTCATAATCATCATAGTCATCATCATCATCATCCTCATCCTCATCTTCGGAGTCATCATCTTCATCATCATCCGAATCATCATCACCATCATCATCATCATCAACCGCATCACCATCATCACCATCATCATCCGAATCATCATCATCATCATCGTCATAGTCATTGTCATCATCATCGTAATAGTTATCATCATGATCAGCATCATCCGAATCATCATCAACCGAAACATCATCATCCGAATCCTCATAATAGACATCATCATCATCAAGATCGTCATCACCCGAGTCAACATCATTATAATCATCATCATCATCATCATCCAAATCTTCAACAAAAGCAGCATCATCCGATTCATCTTCATGATCATGGTTCNCATCATCATCATCATCATCATCATCGTCATCATCCGAGTCATCATCATCACCATCCTGATTATCATCATCATGATCATCTTCATCCGAGTCATCATCATCAGTATCATCTTCAGCATCATCATTATCATCATCATCATCCGGATCATCATCATCCGAGTCATCATCAACATCATCATCATCATCATCATCAACAACATCATCATCATCATCATCATCATCATCATCATCGTCCGAATCAACATCATCATCATTATTTTCATCATCCTCAACATCATCATCATCATCATCATCATAATCATCATCATCGTCATCCGTGGCATCATCATAGTCATCATCATCATCCTCCGAAACATCATCATCATCATCATCCGAATAAACATCACCAACATCATCAACATCCGAGCCATCATCATCATCATCATCATCATGATCATCATCATTCGAGTGATGATCATCATCGTCATCATCATCATCATTATCATCATCCGAAACATCAACATCATCAGCAGCATCATCGTGATTCGTGTCATCATCATCATCGTCACCACCATCATCATCAAGAGTGATAATGATCGCCATCGTCATCGTCATCATCAATATGATCATCAGCATCACCATCCGAATCTGCATGATGATCATCATCCGAATCAACATCATCATCATTCTCATCATCATCATCATCATCATCATTATCATCATCATCGTCATCATCATCGTCATCATCATCATCATCATCCGAGTCATCATCATCATCATCATCATCATTATCTTCATCCGAGTCAATATGATCATCAGCATCATCATCATCAAAATCCGAGTCATCATCGTCATCATCATCAACATCGTCATCAACATCATCATCATCTTCATCATCATCATCATCCCAGTCATCATCATCAAAATCGTCATCATCATCATCATCATCATCCTCATTATCATCATGATCATCACTATCCGAATCTTCATCATCATCATCATCCGAGTCGTGGCCACCATCACCATCATCCTCACCATCATCACGATCATCATCGTCAACATCACCGTCATCCGAGCCATCGTCACATTCATCATCATCATCATCATCCGACTCGTCATCATCCGAATAATCATCATCTACATCATCATCCAAATCTTCAGCATTATAATCATCCGAGTCAACAATATCATCATCACAGGCTTCGTCATCATCATCATCATCGGAATCATCGTCAACATCATCATCAACATCATCATCATCATCATCATCATCATCATAATCCTAGTCATCATCATCATCATCATCACCATCATCATCATCATCTTCATCCGAGTCGACATCATCATCGTCATCGTCAACATCGTGATCATCATTATCCGAATCATCATTATCATCATCATCCGAGACATCATCATCATCATTATCCTCAACATCATCAACATCATCATCATCATCATCCGATTCATCATCATCATCATCATCATCATCATCATTCATCATCATCATCATCATCATCATCATCATCAACCTCGGTATTATCGTCATCATCATCATCATCATCATCATCATCATCATCATCATCATCATCATCATCCGAGTCATCATCACAATCATCATCATCATCATCCGAGTCATCATCATCATCGTCATCATCACCATCATCATCATCCGAATCATCATAACATCATTATCATCACCATTCTCCGAATCTTCATCATCATCGTCATCTTCATCCTCATCATCCGAATCGCCATCAACAACGTCATCATCATCCGAGTCATCCAAATCATAAGCATCATCATCATCATCATTATAATAATCATCATCATCATCATCATCCTCATTATCATTATGATCATCACTATCCGAATCTTCATCACCATCATCATCCGAGTCGTGGCCACCATCACCATCATCCTCACCATCATCAACATCATCATCATCAACATCACCGTCATCCGAGCCATCATCACAATCATCATCATAATCATCATCGTCATCATCATCCGAGTCATCATCATCCTAATCATCATCATCTACATCATCATCCAATTCTTCAGCATTATAATCATCCGAGTCAATAATATCATCATCACCGTATTCATCATCATCATCATCATCGCAATCATCGTCATCATAACCATCAACATCATCATCTTCCGAATCATCATCATCATCAGCATTATCATAATCATCATCATCATCGGAATCATCATCATCCGAATCATCATGATCATCATCATTATCATAATCATCATCGGAATCACGATCATCCGAATCATCATCATCCGAATCCTCATTACCACCAACATCATCATCAACATCATCATCATCGTCATCATCATCATCATCATCATCATCTTCATCCGAAAAGTCATCACCATCGTCATCGTCAACATCGTGATCATCATTATCCGAATCATCATCATGATCATCCGACACATCATTATCATCATTATCCTAAACATCATCAACATCATCATCATCATCATCCGATTCATCATCATCATCATCATCATCATCCAAATCATCATCATCATCATCATCAACATCGGTATTATCGTCATCATCATCATCATCATCTTCAACATCGTCATCATCACAATCATCATCCGAGTCATCACTATCCGATTCGTCATCATCATCCGGATCATCATCATCATCACCATCATTTTCATCATCATTATCCGAATCATCATCATCGTCATCATCATCATTATCCTCCGAATCAACATCATCTTCGTCATCAGCATCATCATCATCCGAATCATCATCATCATCGTCATCTTCATCCGAGTCATCATAATCATCATCATCATCATCATCATCCGAATCATCATCATCTTCCGAGTCATCATCATCATCATCATCGTCATCATCATCATCATCATCATCATGGGAAATATCAACATCATCATCATCCGAATCAGCATCATGATCATCATCATCATCATCATCATCATCATCATCCGAATCATTATCATCATCCGAGACAACATCACAATCATCATCATCATCATCCGAGTCATCATAATATCATCATCATCATCATTCTCCGAATCATCATCATCATCGTCATCTTCATCCGAATCATCCGAATCATCATCATCATCTTCATCATCATCCGAATCATCCGAATCATTATCATCAACATGTATCATCATCATGATCATCATCATCCGAATCATCATCATCGTCATCATCATCATGATCATCATCATCCGAGTCATCATCGTCTTCAACGTCATCATCATCATCATCATCATCATCATCCTAGTCGTCATCATCATCATCATCATTATCAGCATCATCATCATCATCATCATCATCATCATCATCATCATCATCATCGTCGTCGTCGTCATCATCATCCTTATCCGCATCATCATCATCATCTTGATCTTCATGATCATCGTCTTCCTCATCATCAT